GACTCTGCTCTCGTCCGGACAGGCCCTAGACTCAGGCTACTTGGACTGGTACCGGCCTACCTCTAACCTACCGCTACTGGGCCTCTAAAAATGCCAACTTTTTGTCTTCTTCTGCTCGGCCTCCAGCACCCGACACTTCTACCACTACTTGAGTGGTACCGGCCTACCTGCTACTTGAGTGTGTCTCCCCGTTGCTCTAAGCGTCGCGGGCCTACCCCCGCTACTTGAGTGTTTTCCCCGCTGCAACCCTCAAAGTCACGGCCACAGGTAAGTACCGTCCGTGCGGGGCCTTTAAACCAACAAGTACCCTTACAGGTCACACACACACTCAGCTGACAAGCACTCAGACCGGCACGCACACACACACAGACTTGGAAACTTTTGGCGGGTCATTACAGACATAATCTTTTTTTTTTTTTTTTTTTTTTTTTTTTTTTAACGAACAGACATTATCATTTGTAGCTAAACGACAAAAAGAAGGGGACCAAGCCTGCCTGCTAGCTTTGGTGATTTAACTGCCCACTAGCTTGCGCATACCTACTTTACCTGAATAGAACGCCCGGTAACTGTCATCATATCTGGACTGACAGTTGTACCAAATACAGCTATAATGACTGGGTGTTCTATTCGGGTGAAGACGGTAGTAGTTAGTGGCCAATCTACTACTGCCTTCCCGCGAACACAACACACCGTCAACCACCTTTCCCGTTCGATACAGTCATAATGAGGGTGCGCTGTGTTCGGGGTTAGTTAGGCGGTAGGCTCCTGTTCCCATCATAACCAGAGCCATGTTGAGAATTGGATTTAGTCCAGCAATGAGTTAAGTTTAGGAGCTAAAAATAAGCCAAAAAAAAAAAAAAGGAGCTACGTTCTGAGGCTGAGGAAAGCGGGAGCAGAGGCAACAAGGTTTGGAAAAGTTTAACGGCACTTACGCAAGATACGGTGTCTGTAGTCGAGCATCGACCCTCCATACCATGAAAACAACACCTAATAGAACCTGCCAAAAAAAAAGAAAACAAGAAAAAAAAAAAAAGTGCAAGGAAAATGAGCGATAGCGAATTCCAGAAACCAAGCAGCATCATACAGATGAAACCAGATAGTCTTGACCTCAAAGGCTCGAACCAAAAGCAGAATTGCAACTCGAGTTCCACCAAATAAGAGCACAAAAAAAGCTCACAAGTGACAACGCTGGCATAGTCTCATCATCATCAACAATGAACCAATGTCGAATTCCTATCTGGCGGTCGGCGCCCAGACTACGAATGGCAGATCCTATCTAGCCTATCTACAACGCCGCTGGTGACGTCAACAGCTTCCCGAAGTACGAGCAGATCTTGGCCAATGCCGTTCGCCTCAAGCACCAGGTATGTCTCACGCTTCACTTACAACCTCAATCCCCCACACAGATGCCACGTGCACCCAAGGACCACCATGCGCCCCATCCAGCATCTTGCGGGCCAGCTCAGCTAAGGCTGCCTGCGTGTGCCCTGCTCGCCTGTGAGCGCGTGGGTGCTTGCTTGCCGATAGCGCAGCAGCGCTTGCGCGACATGTAGCAAGTGCCTGAATGTCGAGCCCGCAGCCAGGCCCTTTCCTATATGGAATGAGGCTGCCAGTCGTGGCTGCCTGGCTGGCCTGGACCGCCCCACGGAAGCTTCCGGTAGGCCCCAAGGGGCTGAGGCCATGTCCCAGGGAATCTCCCACAGGGCCTGGCGTGGTTACCCGTGTCCAACTGCCAGCGGTCTGTGTTCAGTTTGTGCCTCCGTGCCTGGCCCGGGGCCCCTCGATACATTTGGAAAAAGGAAGGCAGGGCCTGGGCTCACTCAACCCACTGGCGCTGCGCAACTGCCTGAATTTCCCAGCTGCGTCCAACCCCAAAGTAGGCCTCTCGTCCCTTGTCAGGCCCGCCTTCACTTAGGGCGGCCCTTCTGGCTGAAACAGGGCCCAGTAGGGCTTTCCGAGGCCTTGAGCCTCGCAAAAGAGACTACAAGAATAAAAAAAAGGCTGTCCTCCATGAAATCGGTTAAAATTGGAACAATACAGAGAAGATAAGCACGATCACTGTGCAAGGATGACATGGATAGGGAACACATAGTCCAAATCATAATAAAGATATTAAAGAAGAATAATTCAAGAAACAGAAAAGAGCAAGGAAAAAAAAAAAAATGTTGATCCCTCAGTGGATGCCAGTCAGCCGCCTCTGAGCTCAAATATCACCTCACCCCAATGCAATGGCAGTTTCTTCTTTTCATTGTTTTCCATTTATAGTAATTTTATACTCTAAGCAATCCCTAACATTATTTTAACTTATTTTATTTCATTTTATTCATTTCATTTATGGTACTTCTTTTCCTTAGATTATTTTAAAATTTTAATATTGCAATCAGACTCGCTTTCTTTTCACTTCGCACACATGCAAACAGATGGAGATTCACACTGGCGCAGGGCGCCCACTCAAAGCTTAGAGATATGGACATCAAGAACACAGTTCAGATGCAAGTTCTCTTCAACAGGCTATGGCGCATCAGCGCCTGAACATCCCAACCTTCATCACTGTCTCCAACCCCACTGTTCACACACGCTCACTCTGGATCACCCTGAATACCACCACACACATACACACTGTCTAACTTCCTCCTACAGCGGCTATGGCCACACTACCACTACTGACTTTGGCTACGATCTCTCTTCAGCCCACTTCGTCTTCGGGCAACCTGCAGACCACTTTCGCACAAGACGCTGCAGCAGCGCTTCCGCATGGCTTACGCAGCAAATGAATGAATGGCTGGGTGCTGCTTCGTGATTTATACTTCTGTAACTCGTTGGTCTGCCCCTTTCCCAGGCCCTTGGTGCACACAGTCCCACACGGCACTTGCTTGACTGGACCCTGACTGACTGGGACCGGTGCCGCTGACTGCATGGGTTTGCACTGCCAACTCGATGCAGTCGCACTGCCGACGTAACGCAGTTGGCTCACCACTTGCCCACTTGCCTCCGACTAAACGTGAGACACTTCGAAAGGCCACTTCCGGCCCTTCCGGAAGGCTGTGAACTTGGCCTTTCGGGTACTGTAGCAGCTACGACCTTGACCGTTCAGGACTGTAGCAGCTACGACCTTGACCCTTCAGAATACCTACAGCAACGACCTCTACAAAGCTGTGACTCCTAATCCACAGACCTACAGATCGAACCCCTGCCACTACACAGACCTACGCAGACGACAAGCAACTACCAAAACACAGGTCACGGGTTCAAACACTCGGGCTCGACTCGATACTGTACATGGGCAAAGTGAGGTCTGGGGATCGAACTCTAGGGCCCGCATCTGTGACTGCAGAAAGGTGAAACCATGCATATTTTTTCCATTTCTGTCCTGGGATACTCATGGCCCGCTGGCAGGCGACCTTGCATGTTTTTTCCATTTCTGCATCTCCATATTCTTATTTTTTTTCTGGGTCTTGCGTTAGTTTTGCAGAGACATCGCCCTTTTTTTTGTTTTTTTTTTCCTTTGCCCTTCTGATTCTGTCTGTCTTGTGTAACTTTTTCAGAGACTTTCAGCCTTTTGGTTTTTTTTTTCCATTCTGATTCTGTCTGCACTCGCCGGGCAGGCACCTGTTTTGTCCTGGCAGGCCTGTTAGTGGAGGTGCCTGTCTAGAGTGTCGGTTGGGCCCATGGACATTGTAGGCGTGCGCCATGCAGAGAGTTCTATCCGCACTAGGACTGGCACTAGTTTGCCCTGTTTGCAGTGGGACTTTTGGCACACATGGATTTCGTGCAGACTTTGTACCTGGTCCACAGGTAGCTGCTGATGCAGTAAGGCACTGAACCCTGGAACCCAAGTCTGGACCGACGATGCGGGTGGATGTGGGTGCATGCCACAGACTCGATCTAACGATTCTAACCCCATTTGGACCGTCGCGCCGACTTCATCTGAGTAAGCAGCAGTCCTCTAGAGTTGCGCCGTCATCTGTGTAAGCAGCACTCGTCTCAAGTTGCACCTGTACTAATGTACATAAAGAATTCTGTATGTACATTTCTACAGAGAAGCGTAATCACTAATTAGAATTCAACTAATACGATCCTAACCCCATGTTCATGTTACCACATCAATTAGTTGCCAACCATCGTCCTTTGGGAAATCCGTTAAAATTGGAACGATAGTACGATACAAGAAGCGTAATTAGGATGGCCCCTGAGTGAGGATTACGGGGAAAAAAAGGGCAGCAAATATGACCCTACACTTGCATTTACAGTGTCAAAGAACAGGCCGAAACAAGGGCCTCACTTCAAAGGACATACAGCAGAGTGCCAGCTGCCAGTCCTACACTTCACGATGTGCAACGTTCTCTATACTCTGGCAGGCGTGTACACACACACACGCACACACACACATTGGACCGGCAGTCTGCTAGGACTGCAAGGTTGGTGTGAGAAAAGTCGGCCACATTTCTCAGGGGTATCGCTAACGCTTGGCGATGTGTCGAGTCCTTATCCATCAGTCAAATGAATCCTGGGCACACTGTCGGGGTTCAACCTCCTGATGAGTCGGTGAAAGTCCGACAAAACACTCTGGCACAGTCAAGCTTTTTTTGAGTGTATAGCGAATATGACAAAACACACACACACACACACACACACAATCAGTTTGATGTCTGTCTGTTTTCCTCTTGTTGTCTGTTCTCCCTCTGATTTTTACTAAGTACTTGTACTCACCCAACTGAGCACCCTTAAGTAGTGCCAAACAGTTGGCGGTTCCTCATGTGGAGTGCCTACTGCACTCTTAGGGGGCTGCTCAGTTCGGGATGTCTGTGTTGCCTGTGGGTGATGACGGATGGTCATCGGAGTGACTCCCTGGCTCCGTGGGTGGTGGGAACCAACAGTCTGCGAGGTTCAATCGTGATGTGAGTAGGTGATGTACAGCTTTGCTCTGTCTTGGATGTGTGGACTTCCTCGTCTGCACTCTACCACTGCCTAGCTGCCTGTCCCGCTTGCTTCGCATTTGGTTCTCTGCAAATTGCTGTGTTTGCTGTGTGGTGTGGCCGTGTTGCTGGTTTTGCCTTCCGCTTCACTGCTCTGCTGCCTTGCTGGCCATCCGCTGGTCGTGCCTTCTGTGTTTGTTGCTTGTGTGCCTTGTAGTTCACTTGCCTTGTAGGTGCTGCCTTGTGCTCCACTGCATGGTTGCCGTGCTACTCTACCGCTAGCGTTGTCGTCCCCTGCTGTGTGGTTGCCTTGTTGGTGTTGCCTTGTGCTTCACGCTGTGGTTGCCGCACTGCTTGTCCTGCGCGCAGTGTCATTCCTTGCAGTCGTTTTTGGCGTTGTGCAGCCGTGTTGCCTCTACTGTGTTGCTTGGTGCTCCGCAGGGTTGCTGCCCGCTACTGTGTTCCGTTCGGGGGACAGTCTGCCTTCAACAAGGGTCAAGGGTTCATGACCCAAACCATCCAATACGAAGACGCCGCGGATTGTCGAGGGTTCAGCCTCCTGATGAGTCGGTGCAACTCCGACGAAACAATCTTTCATCATCAGCTTTTAATTTATTTTTTTCGGTCTTTGTTTCTTGCCTTGTGCTGTTTGTCTGCCCACCCTCCTCCCCTCTACCCTCCAGTCTGTCTTTTGCTGTTTTTTTTTCTTCTGGTCGCTTTGCTATTTTTCAATACTCGTACTTTTGCCCTTCCGCCTCCCCCATGCGTTTCATACTATGTGCTGCCTCACTGTTTGTTCCTCCTCTCGTGCCTCGAAGTTCATGTGCAGTGTTGTGGTTTGTCATCCTTTTGCCTCGCTGTCTTTTGCCTTCCCCCCATCCCTCCGTTTGTTTCTGAGATGTTATTGTGTGTGTTCTGGTCTGTCTGAAAATGGTGTCTGAACTTCTCTGAAGCATTGAGGCTACTCTCACCATTCGACATAGTCTTCCCCTACCTTCCACTGTTCGATGCGTCTGTCCCATGTCGAATCCGTGAACTGCAGTTGAAGAGTAGATGCTGCTTGTAGAGTCCGGTTTGGAATTCCCTACCTTCCACTACTGGATGCGTCAGTCCTGCGCCTATGAACTTTTTTTCTCGGCCTTTGCTGCGGGGAACGTCACTCCTGCTTTGTCTCATTATTCAAGGTGGGCCGACATGGTTTGTCGGAGCTGTGCAAATATGAGTAATGATGGATCATATCTCGCGCGCCTTGGAGTACAGACCTCTCAAACACACACATGCACACACACACACACACACACACACACACACACACACACACACACACGCATGGATGGTGTGAGTAAAGTCAACCACTTGTCTCAGGGGTATCGCTAACTCTGGGCAACGTGGTTCCTTGTCCATGGGACAAATGCATCCTCGGCCAACTGTTGGAGTTTCAAGCTCCTGACGAGTTTGTGAAAGTATGACGAAGCAGCCTGGCACAGTCATGCCCTTTTTTGGTGGAGTTGTGTATAGTGAACATGACAACACACACATGCACACACACACACACACACACACACACACACACACACACACACACGGATGCATGCATGCATGGTTTGAGGAGCAGACGAAGCTTCTCACGCATGCATGTCAACATGAGGGAGCACACTATCACGCCTGAATGCATATACAAAACCAAGTCCGTGGACAAACGATTCATGGGTAAGGAGGAAAAAAGAGAAGATCCTAGAAGTGAGGAAGCAGAGATACTCAAATCACAAGGGATTCTCTTTTTGGAAAAAAACAAATGAATTAAAGCGATAGCTACCTGCAGCAAGAGCTTGATGTGCCCAGGAAGGCCTTTGTTGCTTTTGCGGACGAGGATCAGGCAATCATCGAGTAATCCCACCATCGCGAAACCCAAGGTGGTGAGACAGACTGCATTCACTTCAGGGGTCGTAAAATGGGTGCTCAAACGGGCAATGCCAACCCCAACTGGAACGAGAAATAGCCCACCCATTGTTGGCGTCCCGGATTTGACATAGTGTCCTTTCGGTCCCTCCTCACGGATAATCTGCCTTGCCTCGAGCTGAGTCAAGAGCGGCACACTGAAGGCACCCAGGATCGCTGTCGCCATAACGGAAAGAAGGAAGGGTGTTGTCAGGAACAAAAGTGCGTGCGGCCGTTGAATAAGCGACCATACATGCCAATCCGCCAACAGGACAGTGAAAAGCAGGACTGCAAAAAGCATCCAGCTCAGCGCTAACCCATCTCCTGACCTGTCCGCATTCAACGCACTCAGCCCCAGGACCCCACAAGCAAAACACATGTCCGTATTCAACGCATCGTTAACCCAAAGAGCTTGTAACAAGCGTGCTGCATTTCCCTACATCGTTGCTTCTTCCATGGCATCCACTCCACACACGCAATGTGCTAGATCAAATTTACTGTTAACGCGTTCAGCATTTTCCTGTTAACACGATCAGCAGGAAGTTACCGTTATCCATCATGACCACAAAAAAAGTTACTGTTACTCCCAAGCTGAAGTCCACAGTCAACAACTCACGCCATAATTACTACCGTCCTCCCCCAAACATAACGCATATGCGTTGTATTCGAGTTTCCGGAAAAAATCAACCATAAGGGCTGTTTGAATAGAACGCACACGTGTTGTATTCGAATAGAAAGCAACCTATGTGTCGTATTCATTTACAAAACTATGGGTTGTATTCGAATACAACGCACTGTATTCGAATAGAAAGCAACCTATATTCCGTATTCATTTACAACACTGCGCTGTATTCGAATACAACGCATATGTGTTAGAATGCATATGCGTTGTATTTGAATCGAAGGCAACCGATGTGTTGTATTCTATGCAGTGTGCAATGAAATTACTGGATCTCAACTTACCGTGCAGAGTGCAACTAAAATACTGGCTCTCAACTTACTGTGCAGAGTGCAGTGAAATTATTGGCTGTCAAGTCACTGTGCAGTGAAATTACTCTCATCATTACTTCTTTGAGCCCGAGTTCGCTCCCAAGGCATGTTCCCAACTCTTGCAGCACCCCTCAAAAATGGAAATGAATGGTACAAGGAGGATCGGAATGCCCCCTGCACAAGGACAATGTGCACAAACTGACCAATGGTGCAAATGAGCACAAATAAACACAAAAAGAAAAACTTATGCCCACTCGCAACTGCAATGCCATCTTGTTAACCTAGCGATAACCGGACAAGCAGGGAAACAGCCAGGTGCTGTAGGAACTGGGACCATGCATATTTGGCACTCTGCCACATATTTCTTCCTCGTTGGGGTGGATGGAACGGAGGGGAAGAAGAGGAGAATGAGGAGACGAGGGGGAGGAGGAGGAGGAGGAGGAGGACGACGAGGACGAGGACGAGGACGAGGATGAGGATGAGGATGCCGTGGAGGATGAGGAGGACGAGGACGAGGACGAGGACGAGGACGATGAGGACAACGACAACAACAACGATGACGAGGGTCAGGACGAGGACGAGGCCAAGGAGGAGGAGGACAACGACAATGACGACGAGGATGAGGACAACGACAATGACGACGAGGAGGAGGACAACGACAATGACGACGAGGATGAGGACAACGACAATGACAACGAGGAGGAGGACGAGGACGAGGACGAGGAGGAGGAGGAGGAGGACGAGGACGAGGAGGAAGACGAGGAAGACGAGGAGGACGAGGAGGAAGGCGAGGAGGACGAGGATGACGACGACAACGAGGACGAAGACGAGGACAGGAATAACAAGAAGCAAACTGTACAACAACAATGGTGGCAACAATAATGATAGTGATGACGAGGAGGCGGGGATGAGGAGATGATGATGACAACAATGGTGATTTCTAACACACAAGAAGAATAAGTCTAAGATCAACTTGCTGGTGATCAAACCTGTGACCTGCCATCAAAGGGGTAGATTAGTTAACCATTAGTAAAAAAAAGTGAGTTGGCGTGAAAGTGAAGCCCCTTGTGGGACACTTCACTAAGCCACCCCGGCTTGGATATTAGTCCTTGATCCAGTCCCAGTCCCGGTCCCAGTCCCAACGTACCCAGACACAACTCAACCCAAGTGCGCATGAGGGTGCTAGCTCATGGCAGCAGTCAGACTACTAACTATAATTGAAATGATGACTGACTGCCTCTATGTGCTTGCTAACATACCAGAAGTGTCAAGTCACCAGAAATTGAACAAGTGCGCATGAGGGGGCTAGCTCGCTAGAAGTACAAGATCAACTCACTAGAAATTGAACATGTTGCAATGAACCCAGATCGTGAAGACACTTGTCAACAATGCAAGCCCAGATGAATATCAACCTGCTGATGATTATCAATAATCATAATTGTGTCCAAATAGAATGAGATGGGAAAATCATACACAGACGAAGGAGAGAGGAGGGAGATTAGACTTAGAAGAGGAATAAAAGACAATGCCCACTTCTGCTTCGGGCTCCCTCCTCGATCACCACCTCAATAATCAATAATCTGAACGCGCATCTGAAGTTCCATCACAATGTGCCACGTTGCACGTCAATCAGTCCTCATCAGCGAGCTGGAGCAATGTCGACGTCAAGATAACCAGGTACGTATCCACTATCACCCCACAATCATGATCTCCTCCCGAATGTTGTCGAAACAGAACAACAATACCAGTCGCGTAGCCTCGCCACGTCAACAATAATAATATACGTGGCAGCGGCCACGTCATCGGCGGCAGGTAGCAGCGGCCACGTCAGCATGCCCAGAACACAATTGCAAGCCAGCCACCATGTCGAGCCAGCAGAGCGTCGCCGTAGTTCGCCCAGTTGCCAGCGTAGAGCGTCCAGCCAGCGTCGCAGCATCGCAGCATCGCGCTAGCGTCGTTGTCAACGCGTTCAGTCTGCATTGACGCAAGACAGAATGTCCTTCGAAGCCAAGAGTTCAACGCTTATGTAGTGTTGACGCGGGGTCTGGACCCCAGGTGCTGCATTCCTCAATCGTCGAGATCTCAACGGAACGGCCCGGATTGGCTTGCAACAGAATTTCATGTGGCCTTGATGCTGTCTGGGTACCTGCGCACAACAAGTGAGTGTATCCGACCAAGGGCCTGGGTGCGGTACCTTTGACCTGACAGTTGACTTGGACCCTTGACTTTCCAGGGGGCAGTGCGTGGTCGCTCTGCCTGGCGCAGGCCGTGTTTGGCCTGTGTCATCTGGGCGCAGTTTTGGGCCCCCAGACCGCTGCCGAACATGGGTTACTGCATTCCTGCCGACCCATTTTCGAGTACCATCGCAGAAATAATTAAGACCTTATCCCACGTTCATAAGCAGACACAATGTCAGGAGCAGTTTCAAGTAATTCTCTTTTACTAAACCATTTGTCCTCAGACGGAGACGGAGACTGAGACTTGAAACGTAACTTGAACTGCTTCTATGGTCGTCCACGTCCTCCTGTAGAAAAGAATCCATGTTATATGATCTGATCTACTTCATACCTGCCTTCCATTGATGGCGGAATCATAGATGGTCTGTTTTGGGAACTCTTTTCCTTCTACATAGGGTAATAGTTTGGACGCGTGAAAGACAGGATATGTTTTGAGGTGAGGGGGAATATCAATGCGATAAGACGGTCCCTCCGAATCCCCAATCACTTTGAAAACTTCCCAAGGTCCAAAATAGACAGGCAGTAGCTTTTGAGACACATCTTCTTCCAATGAAAACTCTTTGGACTTGACCAAGACTAGATCACCTTCCTTGAACGTAGATGGTCGGCGACGCTTGTTGGCTTGTTGAATCATTTTGGTCTGAGCTTTCTTCAGATTCTCCTTTACTTTCTCGATGTTTTCTTGAAATAATACTATATATTCTCGGGTCCCTGGAGGTAACCTAAGAAATTGGTCTCGTGTCAACACATCAATGGGACGCTTAGGCTTTCATCCCTAATGCAGTGCATTAGGTGTACGCCCTGTAGCAGTATGAACACTACTATTATATGCACTTGCAATCTTGGGTAAGTTCTCATCCCAATCAATCTGATCGGGTCTCACATACATGCGCAAAAGTTGTTGGCACACACAATTCATCTGCTTAGTCTGGCCAGTCGTTTCAGGATGTCGTCCTAACGACATGGTCAGTCGTGTGCCATATGCTTCCATAAGCTTTTGCCATGGCATACTCGTAAACCTGACATCGCGATCAGACACAATAGACTCAGGAAAAACGTACTCCGTCACCCATCGCATCTAAAACTTTCGAATGATAAGTTCAGTTCGCGCTTCTGCAGGTAAGGGAATAAACATGGCATATTTAGAGAAGCGATCCACAATAACCATTACTTGGCTGTTGTCATTGCGGCTTTTGGTGAGACTCATAAAATCAATCGAAATGGACGCACCTGGTTCGCTGGGAATCGGTAATGGTTTCAGAAGACCAAGTGGATTCTCATGCGAAGGTTTGTTTCTCTGGCACACCACACATGTACGAACATAAATTAGTACGTCCTCTTTCAATCCCTTCCAATCAATGCGTTCCCTAACCTCAGCGTAAGTTTTCTTGAAATCAAAATGTCCCTCAGTGTCGTGACATTCCCCAATCAGCAGGCTTTTTATTTCTTCCTTGTGGGGCATATACTCAATCTTTGTTCAGTTTGGTCTAGCAAGAAAAGCAAACCATCCGTTACTCTATAGTTGGAAACTAAAGTTGGGTCTGTCGAAAGGGCATCCATGATAGGCTTCCAGATAGGGTCAATAGCATATCCTTGACGAATTTTAGCTTTCACATCATTCCCAACATCTAAGTATGAGACAATAGTACCAAAGAAATCATATCATTTGGACAACGCATCTGCAACCACATTAAACTTACCTTTGATAGTTTTCAACTCAAAATCAAAAGTATCAATGAATGCAGACCATCGTACTAGCTTATCAGAGAGTTTAGGTTGTGTCTTTATCCACTTCAGTGTCGAGTGGTCTGAGTACACAGTAAAGTGTCTCCCCAACAAGTAGCGCTTCCATGTATCCAACGCACAAACTAAGGCATACAATTCCCTTTCATAAGTGGAGTTGGCAACCTTTTCCGATGGCAATCGTGCAGACATAAACTCAGTGGGTCTATAACCCTTGTCGTCGTTTTGTTGAAGGACTGCGCCAATCCCATACTGACTTGCATCAGTAGTGACAATGAAGGGAAGTGATGGATCAACAATTTTCAGAACAGGATAGTGAGTCAAAGCATACTTTACCTTCTTGAAGGAAGACTCACAGTCCTTGTCCCACAACCAAATAGTTCCTTTCTTTAACAATTTTCCCATTGGTGCGGCAATCAGTGAGAAGTTCCTAACGAACTTTCTATGTAGCTTGCCAAACCAAGGAAAGATCGTAGTTCGGTTACAGACTTAGGTCGTGACCAATCTCGAATTGCTGATATTTTATTTTCTTATGGCCTTAGGCCATCTTCGTTCACTATATGTCCTAAATATAAGACTTCAGACTTAGCGAACTCAGACTTCTTTGGGTTTATTTTGAAGTTGCCCTCTCGCAACTTTCTTAGAACTAGACGGAGATACTTCTCGTGATCTTCTAGTGTTTTACTATACGCTAAAATATCATTGAGATCCTAGTGTTTTACTATACACTAGAATATCATCGAGATAGACAATAACGAACTGATCCAACCATTGACGAAACAATTCATTCATTGACCGTTGGAACGTCGCAGGGGCATTTGTCAATCTGAAAGGCATTACCATGAACTCGTAATGGACATACCTTGTCCGGAATGCAGTCTTGTGTTGATCTGCGGGTTCCGCCTCGATATGATTGTACCCAGACTTCAGATCAATCGTACTAAAATACTTGCAACCCTGCAGTTGATCAAGTAAGTCGTCAATGCGAGGAAGCGGTTCGACATTTTTGACAGTGACAGCATTCAACCCTCGATAGTCAATACATAAACCCAGTTCACCTTCCTTTTTCGGCACAAACAAGACAGGTGCACCATAGGGAGATGAGCTAAGGCGAATCCATCCCTTGTCAGTAAGGTCATGCAGTTGTTTCTTTAATTCCTCAAGTTCCTTAGAAGACATTCGATAGATAGGGCCCTTGGGAATCTTGCTACCCAAAATGATTTCAATAGTATGCTTGATAGCACGTTTCGTAATTCTGGAAGGTTCAGTCTGCAGATCCTTAAACTCAAAAAGAAAACTTTCAATAGTTGAAGGGCAGGAAGAAGAAGACTCACCGGCTTTCTTTACCAACACCATCATAACTTTTTGTTCCAACTTCTTCTTTGAAACCATTGATCGAAAGGTTGGGTAACTCATACAACAAAAAGACAAACTAGAGTCAGAGTCAAACTTATGATATAATTTAATAGGTTTTATTTCAAATTGTGCATCCTTGAGTTGCACAACCTTGCCTTTGAAATCAATATCTGGGTTGGCTTCCTCGTGCCAATCCATACCAGAATGAGATCAAAAGGCAATTTTTTTTCTACTGGAAAAGACAACTCATGAATAATCTTTTTTCCTTCCCTAGTTCTAAACTGACATTTCATACGATCAACATACTGTGAGACAGTGATCGTACTCTTGTCTACTAACATAAACGTGATAAGTCGAGACAAGTCTTTCACCTTCATTCCGAGATGCAACTTGCGGATTGCTTTCTCGGAGATGTAGGACCTCGTCGATCCGAGGTCCAATAACGCATCTACTCGTTTTCATGCGATTTCTACTTCTGCAAATAACAATTCGCCCTTAGACTTTGTTTTTCGAGCCCATGAGCTACGTAAGGCTAGCGATTCATTACCTAGCTCATCAAGGATGTGGTCACTATTGCTATCCTTCTCATTTTCGCCTTCTCTCGACCACTTTTCCACCGTGTTATCATCGAAGACAACAAGGATGAGGTCCTGGCGCTTTTGTCGCCAGATAACCCGTTTTCCTCCGTCATACATCTTCCCCCCTCCTCCTCCAGACTTGACTACGGCTGCATAGGAGTTTTTGACTTGAGAAGTCATCTGCTCCCTTCGCAGAGCGAGGTCTCGAAATTGCCTATAATTATATTTTTCGGACTTTGCTTCGGCCACCAAGTGTTCCCGGATGGGCTCAGGCAACGCGCAGGAGTAAATATACAGCACTTGGCTGTCTTGCAGGTTCAATCCTGGAACCTGCAGCAATCGGTCGGCTTCGCGGGACAAAGCTTCGACCGACGTCCAATGCTTTTGACCAATCCTAGTTAATTGGTCAAACGCCTTGTCCGCCATCATCTTGTCTAGGAAACGGTCCTTGATTTTGGGCAAGAACTGTTTCAAGGTCAATGTTTTTTCCCGCGCACTGATGTCTTCAAAACCCGCGGTGTTGACCTAAGCCAACACCCATTGTTTGGCCTCACCTCCCATGCAAGAGGGGGTGAACACCACTTGGGACTCCGTCTCGACCGGAGCGGTGCTTACATAAGTTTGGATTTCAGCAATCCACAGAGGCAGACTCTCATCTTTCTTGTTATTAAAAGTAAAAGGCAACTTCATTTTCACTCTTTCCTTCTTCTTTGGCACCTCCTGTTCTGCACTTGTCTTGTTCGGAGTTGTCGAAGGAGAAGGAGACTTGGAAGGAGTAGTAGAATGAGGAGAATTCGGCAGAAAGGGAGGTGGACTCGGCGGTCCATTCCCATTAGTCGGCGTCTGATCTTTAGGAACGGCAGACTTGATGGCATCTCTCATCAGTTTTACATCTTTCTTTTCTTCTTTTTTTTCTTCTCTTTCTTCTTCCTTACCTTTTACCTGTTTTTTTCCTTTCACAATGTTTGTGATTGTTCTTAATCCTACAGCAATCTCATCTAACTGAGTTTGTTGTTTGTCAATTTTCTCTTCCAAAAAGGTAAGGTAAGTCGTATGCGACATATCATCCTGTTCCCCAATTTCTGTCCCAATCACTTCTCTAATTTCTCGAACTTTTTTGTTCCCTCCTTTGTTCTTGTTCTCTCCTTCTTGCCAGCTCTTCTTTCTTTCTTTTTTCCACGGCCAGCGTTTCTTTCAGTTGTTGGATGTTCGCTTCAATCATAGCCTCGGTCACTTCAAGTTTAACCTCACCTTTACAAGTCAATTCCATCACTTCTTCCAATTGTTTTAAAGCAAATTGGTCCAGCGCCTGTCGACACTGGGCAACCAGTTTGGAGACCTCGGTCCCAGCTGCCACAACCTCCACAGTCGTTACAGATTTCTTCAAAGGGTCCTCAGCCGTCTTCAAATCAAATTTGTCATGGATGTGTTGTTCAGCATCCGGTCCGGATAGACGCATTTCGGTCAACAGTTGGTTCCACAAAGCTAGTAGTTCTTGTTTCCTATTTTCGGCTTGCGTCCAAGTCTTAGTCTCGGACGGTCCATCGCCCACAAAGAGCGTGATCGGAATAGGAAACAAAAACGCGGTCACAAACCTCGTCAAAATAGACATCTGCAGATTTTTCCAAAAGTGAGACATTTTCTAAGGACAAAAACAAGAAAATTCGTCGGCCAGGTTGATCTATCTCAAATAAACAAAAGAAGACAATTAATTTGATTGGTCACCTAAGCCAAAACAATCTTGAACAGAAAAGATTTAAATAAAATGTAATAGAAATTTCAATTTCTCCTTTCTAATCTGACGGTTGTTCTGTTTATTATGTGTGATGACGTCCTATATTAGTACAGGTACCACAACCCAGGCCAACGTGATCATCAACAACACACAAGTGAGTACACAGACACACAACACAGCTCACGACAACAAGTCCGCCAACAAACAAAACATCAATAGTTAGCGTCTTCCTTTTCTGATGTTGTGTCTTCTGAAGTCCGGTGTGATCACACACTTGATCTGACTTCCAGCACCACAGTCACGTCAGTCTTCCAACAGTGTCGCCTTCGTCGTCAAAGTATATCTTTCCACTTAGGCACGTTTGTGCCTGCCTTGTGTCACCTCTGACATGCCAACACAGCAGCTCATCGAGTCTGCCATGTCAGCACGTTCGTCCAGTCATCATCATCAATGGGGGTACACGCCAGTAGCGTATGCCTTGTTCGTCCACGTCAGCCAGCCTGATCTCCTGTAGCGATACCAGCACGTCGCCAGTCAATCATACAATGCCACGTCAGCCAGGTAATAGAACGCCACGTCAAACAATGCCACGTCAGCCTGAAGCTCCTCACCACAATAGACGAGTGGTGAGGCAGCACTACCACGTCAGCGTTCCTCAATAATCACTGGCCACGTCAGCAATGTATCCCGATCGCAAATGTGATCGATCGGGATCTCGATCGCAACGCGATCCTGACTGGAACATCCCCTGTTGGGATACCAATTCCACGTCAGCACCTGACGTGCGTCTCGAGCTCTCTCCCGCACTTGTCGCCGTCGTCGTTCTCGTACAGGTCGTCGTCGCCGGCCACATCATCGGGAGTAGAGCTCTGATACCAAATTGCAATGAACCCAGATCGTGAAGACACTTGTCAACAATGCAAGCCCAGATGAATATCAACCTGCTGATGATTATCAATAATCATAATCACATCCAGATAGAATGAGCTGGGAAGATCATACACAGACAAGTGAAAGAGGAGGGAGATTCGACTTAGAAGAGGAATAAAAGACAATGCCCACTTCTGCTTCGGGCTCCCTCCTCGATCACCACCTCAATAATCAATAATCTGAACGCGCATCTGA